CTTTTAGAGAGGGAGGAAGAATAGCTGTATATACAGTAAGAGAAGGGAATACACAAGCCCTCTGCCATGATGAGTATATATAAAAAGAATTTATTTTATCTATTGCTGTAAAATACCTTGCGTTAATTTTATTTAAAAAATCAAATATAAGATTCACATATTGTATGCTATTTAATGACAACTACGTCCTCTGTGTACACAGGAAACATGAATTCGTTTGACATGAAGTGCACCCACAACCTTCCTGCCGGGGGAAGTTGTTCACCCTGTTTGTTCATAAAACTAAATAAATAAGTAGACCAGAAAAATTACAGTCTTTCCCCTAAAGCAGGAGATGTCAGCTGTTTAAATAAATCAATGAGCTCTTGGAGTTTAACTGCTTAACCATTATTTCTTTGCAGCCAAGGAGCGACTCTAATAGCTAAAACCGAAAAAGTGCACAGCCGGTAGATTTCTAAAATACACTGGCAGACTATGTTAAGTGAGCAGTTTTAGACAGAGTTTTTTTATTTTTTTGTCGCTGTGTCTCAAATCAGAATCTGTCTCCAAAAGCAGCTGTAGTCCTTGGGCTCGCTGTCTGAGGTGACTGCTGTCTTTGGAGAAAAGTCAACCATGGCAGAATGGTTGAAATTGTTTCTGTAGCAGAAGTGATTTATATGATGCATCGGCCTGTGCTGGGTTCATCAGAGTTCACGCAGCAGTGTCTTAGTCAGCTACTTTCACAGTCTGGATTATGTCAAACAATTGGCACAAGCCTAGTCAAGTGTAAGTGACACGTCTCCTGACAGCTTCAGTGGGCTGCGCCCAAAGGTTTGGGATGCTCAATCACCCCTCCGCTACAGGACAAGCACTACACAATTAATGACCCAATTAAATGCTGCACCGTGCAAGTTTCAAGGGCTCCAAGGGCCTTTCTGTAACCACTGCTAAATTCTCACACTGCTGGATATTAATAATCAGTGTTGAACAAAGTGCAGGGGCACAGAAAACACACAATGAAAGCAGTTAGTTCACTGTATCCTTTACTGTGTTGACATTAATCTACGTACAGTGAGTGTTGAAGTTTCTGCACCTCCTGATGATAACTTTATAACAGAATCTCTTTTCTCCTTTTGTCTTTTCTCCTGTGCTGCAGCAGAGGTGGCCTCCATATGGAAACTGCCCAGCGCTTTTCTACAGTACACACCTGCCCCCAAGTGGTAAAATACAATTACTACATATTACTTCTTATAAGTTTCCCAACCTTTTTTAAGCCACAGCATATATTTAATTATATTTATTTATTTATATTATATATTTAACATTTTAATAAAAATTTCACCGCACAAAACCAACATTAAATGTTCAAAGTATGTGTCATATAGTATGAGTTATCTAGTTTCCATATGTTCACAATGTACTAACTTAGTTTAGTTGAACACAATGCTGCTATACTCGCAGGAATAAAAGAAAGACGTACACAGAGAATTTCTTCAGCAGTTACGGTGTTTGTTTGTTTTTTAGTTTTTATCAAAGTATTAAATTATTCTGCCTTTCACCGTCAGACCAATTAAGTGAAACTGATTTATATTATTTGTAGTTTTCACCACTCTTGAAGATGCACCATGTATTATGTCTCCTCATCTAGTGGTTGGGAGTCCTTGTTGTTTGACAAATAGAAGGTAAACTTGCAGGGAAATCAAAATTTTTTGTTAAAGTGTTTCATTATTTTATTGCAGATGTTAACTTAAAGTACAAATATGACCGCTTGGTCCTGGAAGTACCGCTGCCATCCAGGAATGAAAAGTGCGTCTTCTTCCTCAGACCCATGTTGATGACTGTTGGAGACCTGCTCACAGACCTGCAGAAGGAGGACCCTGGAGTCTCTACCTCCGTTCTCACAAAGGGTATGACGCAGCAGTACATCTGCGCTATGCAGATACTGGACTGTCTACATTCTTAAAATGCAAACAGCACTTTTTTGTTTTTGAATACAGCTAGTGTTGGAGGTTGCAAGATAGAGACAAAAAGAAAAAGAAAGTCCACCTGTGGCAGAGAAACAGCATATACACCCGTGTACTGTATGCGACAGACAGCGGTCTGTACTGACCTTATTTGAGTGTGACAGCAGACGACCAGCTTGGACGTACACTCACATGGTAGAACACGACTGACTTGACGTCAGCCCTTGCAGTCCTGCAGCTGTTCTCCCTTTGATCACCATCTGAGAACATTTGGCAGCAAAGTATTTAATCAGACAAACAGCCATTTCCTCGCCACATTCATTTTACTGACAGCAGCTTCAAATTAAAAGTCAGTGTTTGGTCAACGTGCAAAATGAAAAACGCTTCGGAGAAACTGCAATTTGTTTTTGATTAAGTAAGAGTCGTGCAGGGCAGAAACCTGTCTGACATTATTTCTTACTTTTAAATTAGCAACAAATTGTATATATTATATATTATATATTATTGTAGTATATACCTTACTACAGCCTGTATAGGGCTGTGAGGGGCTGCAGCTTATACCTGCAGTCCATCACAGGGCTACATACAGAGACAAATAACCATTCACAGTCACGCTCGCACCTTTGGCCAACTGAGAGTGTTAATTTAGCCCAATGTGACATGTTTTTTGACTGTGAAAGGAAAGGCAGCCACAGAGAACACGGACACACACACAGGTAGAACATACAAAGTCAAGACAGAATGACCATCAGTTACTACTGAGGTTTAAATCACTGACCTTCTTACTGTAAGGCAAGAGCACTAACCACACTTCTGACATAAACCCAAAATAATGTCAACTTGTAACACTGCAGCATTAGCATTTCAAGGGAGGGTTGTGAAACCAAGTCCCCCGACTTGAAAAACGTGTTTCTTTTTCTGTGGAACGTTATTATTTGATAGCACCTGAGACAGTGAAGCACAATCTTCAGTGGTTTATGTTACATTGTAAAAAAGACTTGCATTTTAATACAATAAAATATGAATGTGCAGATGTCTCCCTATTTTTACTCTTTGCAGCGATAGGTGTCTTTGTAGGAGCTGGAGAATGACTGCTCCTGCCTGAGGTGTAATAGTATATGGAAGATGGATCCTCTTAGCATTACATTATAATCCTCTCATTCCCTGTGGTTTATTTGTGCAGTCTGTCTGCTAACCATTCTCGTTAGGTGTTAAATGAAATTTTATGACTGCAATAAAATTACTGAATAAAATATCTTTCTTGGCCTGACAGATGGAGAGCGTGTGGCCAGCACCACGCTCATCGATGCTCTGCTGGATAAGAACTTCAAGCTTGTCATCAATGACACTGCTTATGACATCCAACCACCTAAAAGAGGTACTAGCATGTCCCCCCGACCCCCACCCAGATTGTTTCGTCCATGCATGTTTCATCTCACATCAACTCTAATTCTATCTTTCTCATGCACCTTGTCTTGCCCTTTGATGAAGAGTGTGTGTCCAGTGAGCACATCATAGAGCTGGAGGACATGAAACATGTGGTGCACCTGCTGCACACGGCACTCCACATGCCTGAACATCACCTGCTGAAAGAGCGGGAGCTGCTGGAAAAACTGGACACCCTCAAACAGCAACTTTCACCACTAGAGAAGGTTGTTTAACTTCTCCCAAGATCAGTTTTACTCATGATTAAACATAATCCAAATTACCCTTGATTGTCAATAAATTATTTTTTGTTCAAATCATTGGACATTATTAAAATATATATGTAGCCGGTGTACTTATACACGCTGCAAGAAGCTACAGCAGCTTTCCCGCCTTTGTCCAAAAACAGCTCTCATAACCACACTAAGTCACAATAAACACGTAAGACATCCCCGAACAATGTTACTTTAACATTTACTAATCAATTTTGTATTAAAACTTAAACATAAAACGTTTTAATTCTGCCTCGACAACGTACCTCTCTCAATCAGGAACAGCACAAACTGACGAGGGGCTACCCACAACATATCCGCCGACTTTCAAAATAAAAGTCTGGATTTAAAACAAAAAACGGAAATACATAAAAAATAAAACCACAATTGTATCAATAATAACCCGAGTAAAAAGAAACTAGACCACCCCATGCGATGGATTTTGGTGAAATTAATAATAATAAAATAAGAATACCAGAATAAAGTGTTTTATTTTCTCACCTGTTACATATACATTATAGTGAGAAGGAGAGTGGTAGCATTTTAAATGTGTGCTTCAAACCAACTTTTTAACTTTTTGACTGCATGAGAGCAACAACAAAACAATGTTCTCTGTTCTAACAGATGAAGGCACAGCTTTCCCATACAGCAGAGTTCCAGACTTCCAACGTCGTCTGGACTGGTTTGGCCCTTTTATCAGTGCAGGGCGGTGCACTTGCCTGGCTCACATGGTGGGTCTATTCATGGGACGTAATGGAGCCTGTAACATACTTCATCACCTACGCTACCAGCATGGGAGCCTTTGCCTATTATGTCCTTACAAAACAAGTAAGTCTCAGAAACTCGCAGCTTATTTGAGCACTTTTTTTTTTTTTAAAAACAAAACAAAATTTTCCCTCTTCCACCAGGACTATGTCTATCCAGAAGCTAAAGATAGACAGTTCCTGCGCTACTTTTATAAGGGGGCCATCAAGAAAAACTTTAATGTGACACAATACAACCAACTGAAGGATGAACTGGCTCAGGTGGGTTGGGGTTTTTACATGGCATTCTCTCATAGCCATTGCTACACTGTGACACTTAACTAGTGTGTATATTCACAAATGCAAGTCAGAGGTTCATTATAAACATAATATAGTCCAACTGTTATTGTATGATCCAGCTGTCCATCACATGCCTTGACCAATCCAATTCACCCACCCTCTGTCTTTCCTTGCTATTCCCTCCTTCTGTTCTGTAATTTACCAAGTGTCTGGTTTTGTTAAGTTGGTTTATAACCTCTATCTCTAATGAATCATTTAGGTAAAACATACCAGGAAGTTTATTGCTCTCTGAAATCAAATCACATGAACTATTTCAATAACGTTTATGACTGAAGAGGCAATTACCTCACTGAACTGACATAAAACCTTCCTGTGTGTCAGGTGGAGGAAGACCTCAGACGTCTGAAATATCCAACCCAAATGCAGCTGCCACTTGAACAGATCCAGGCAAAGCCATGAAGAAGTCAAGCGGCCCAGATGTAGTTCTCACACTTCTAAACAAACGAGCAAAAAACAAGTAAAGTTCAACTTTATTTTGATAACAGCCCGTGTTTTTTTAAACCGCAAATCTGTGTCGTTCAGTGTTTTGTTTACAACCTTGATATCAACGCCAATCAAATCTAATTACACTGTGGACTGTTAAAATAAAAAAAATTCAGAGGACCATTGGCTGTTTGCATGAAGTTTGTTTGTACATCATAACACAAAAGAACAATGCTTTTTTTTTTAAGGTAATGACGTTTTTAAAAAATAAATCCAAAAGGAGAAAAAAAAAGGGAAAACACAAACTTCTTTGCCATTAAAAGGATCATTTATTTAAAAATAATGCTTTCAGAAACATTTCTATTTGTTTCACGTGGGATTTGGACAAACAGATCAGATGCAAGGATTCAAGTTTACAGCATGCTTCTCCCTGAGGTGGAAACCACGATGAGCTTTGTTACATTTCTGGCTGCAAAGACGAAATATTATACTTAGTCCCTGAAACTGCTACATAACAAACAACAGGACAAACATCAATTCCCTTTTTGATAGAGCCAGAGGTGTCAAACAGCAGGATCATGTCCCCTGAAATGCTTTTTCAGCTGGATGATACCATTTCAAGTGAGATGTCATGTTCATTGGAACATCTGGTTTTTGATGTAATGACTATTTTTTCTTCTCCTCAAACAATGCCCTTTCTCCACTGCTAATGTACTTTATTGGAAAACTGTAAGACATTGCATCAATTTGATGTACTGCTAACTGCTAACTAATGTAGTATAACTGGAGGTTACTGAATGACATGTGGGAGCAGCAGTTGGGTCTGGTTGTGCATTTGTACCGTACCATTACAACCCTATCACTAATAGAGGTTGATAAGTCTGACAAAGTCAAGTTGGAGTAAGAACATTATTAACACAGTCACATGAAACACACTTGTGGTGTCACCAGAGTTCACACTGGATCAAAAAGCAAGCTTCAAGAACAGAACATGTTGTGGAAGGTCACTCAGACTCATATGGACCATTAAAAAATTATTGATTGATAGTGCAAGATATTTGGCGTAGATGAAAACAGCAGAAATGAATGCAGCATTACATAGACACACACAAAAATATGATTCACATTTCAGTTCTTAAAAGGTAAGATGGTACAAATGGAATCACCCTGAAACTGGACAGTTGGGTCCGCATGTTTGATATTTACCTACGACACTAATGGAATGATTTAATTAAACTTATCGTGACCTATAATAGTGTGAAAACACAAGCTAAAATCACCTCGTAATGTAGTATTTACTAAAATTGCTCCATGATTGGAAATTACCTTTTCACTCATTTTGAATAGATCCTATTTGACTGGCAAAAGATATAAAACGAATTAGAATCTGAATCTGTTATTTTTTTGGTCGGAAGTATAACTTTTTGGTGAGCATCGAAGCAAAGCAAGGCACTTGTTTCTTTCCAATAGCGTTTCGGTCACTGGAGCTTCCCACGCTCCTCATGGACACCTTTCTGTTGACCAGTGTAAGCAACTCTGTAAATTCCAGGGAATCTCCGTACTGCTTTATCAGCTCACACAGGTCCTGGATATACCACGACCCATTGATGGTCTCCCGGTGGGAATAGTAACCTTAAACGACAATGGACAGAGGACGGGTCACGTACTGAGGTCACAGCCACACATCATCTACAATGACCTTAGCTCAAACCACAAATAATGGGTTTAAAAATAAAGGACCAAGCTATTCACAGGCAGAACAACTAATTAAAGGCTCTTCCTGTTGAAGATCTCTGTGCTTCTTTCTTTATTCCATATTAAAACCAATAGCTTAACATTATTTACCCATAAGTCAAATATGAAAAGGTTTTTAAGATGTGATGGAAGTGTTTGCATTTTTACTTAATTTATATTCTATTTATAATTTAATAAATGTAATATAAATGTAGTAAGAATACAAGAATTTATTATTTTTAACACTAAAAACAAAACCATTGTACTCTGTTTAATTAGGTCAATTACATGTTTCCTTTTTACTCTATAGCCAGTTTTCTTGGTGCACTGTAATACTATACAACATGACAAGGGTGTGGGAGATAGGAATGGCCTGCACTGAGATAACTACAAGAACACATGCAAATATGATACTTTCAGACAACTGTGGGGAAGTGGTGGCTTAGTGGTTAAGAAAGTGGGCTTGGGTACAGAAGGCTTCAGGTTTGAGTCAACCAGCTGCTAAGTTACTGCCCATTGTTCACTTTGATGATGGGTTAAAAAGGCAAAGGTCACATTTGGTTGTGTGTGCAGTGGTGTGTCACAATGACATTCAATTCTTATTCACTTTCAAATTTCTCACCTTGGGCAACAGAGTAACACATGATGAAATCAGCTCCGGCAGGAAGTGTGTAAAACGCACTAGCGTCCACCACAACCTCATTTGTCTTAATTTCACTGTCCACATCATCACAAGGAGTAACTGGATCATCGTGTTTGTCTCCACGGCAAGCCTGTGGACCAGCACAGCCACATTCAAAATTCTAAATTAAGCAAAAAAATTGAAAACATAATACATTGATTTTACTTGACACATTTTTATTACCTGTATTATAAAGATCTTTGGCTTTCCTACAAGGCTTTTGCACTTGTCTCCTTTGAACAGGGACATGATTTCCTGGATATCAATCTTGCCATTGTGGGTATAAACATGTTCGTTCTCGCCGTGGCTCAGGAAGATGAGCATGAAGCAGTCTGCATCTGAATGGTTAGCTGCAGCAGCTGGTGGGAATCAGGCACATGTTAAAACCTGACTTTTAACAATACCAGTTATGGAAATATAGGTGATGCTGTTCAACTTAATATATACGTGCCTACCATCGTCAATTACTTTTTTGACTTCTTCCTGCTTGTAGCTATGACATGACTTCACCTCAAAGCCCAGCGCAGCCAGTCTGATAGAGATAATTACGAGATGTTATGCCCTTAAACAAAATACACAGACGTGCACTGAAGTTCTAAAGACAAATGGCTGCAGTAAAATACCTAATCTCCAAGTTGTAGCAGTCAGCATTGGTGCCATGCCTGTCATTTAGTCCAAGTCGCCAGAAAAAACGCTCCTGGTTGAAAATAATTGCGAGGCCTCGGCGTTTGTTGGTCATTTTATACTCCTCTGCTACATCCAGAGCTAAGGAACTGATCAGCAAGTACAACACACACAACAAAGTTACATTATGTGACAACCTGTATACAGTAAATGACAATTCAGTGAAATAAAAAGAGAAATCCCTTACCTCCGAATAAAGGCATCAGTTTCTGTGAGGTTTTCTGTACATGCTTCAAAAAAAAAAAAAAAAAAAAGAAAAAAAATCTGTTTTGACATCCACTTAAAACCACAGAAAAAAGAATTATAATGTGACCGCACAAACGTGATGTCACAACCATCACTATTCAGCAGTGCAACTACAGGTGCATGAAATGCTTCCTGCTGCTAGTACGGAGGTCAAGCAGCCATTGTTCTATCAGATTAGAGTTGTCAATAGCTGAATGACAGGTGGAGAAAGATGGTAAAGAACACAAGCCAAAAAGCGTAGGAAGGTTAAACTTTATGTCAGAGCAACAGCTCAGAGAGAAACAGCAGCCACCGACCACACTTTAATGCTGTGGTCAGTGTTACATAAAAGATTCTTGTTTTTTATTTTTTTATAGAGATGTAACTTTTATTTCCAACATCACATGCACTAAACCCATGACAGAAAATAAAAAGGATAACATAATAAACTCGTGACACCAATTATTGGACATGGTTACTTATTAATCCAGTTTGGGTTTTTTTGTTTCAGTTTTGCTTTGTTGGAAATCTAGTAACCTAGATAGCCAAGTAAAAACTCTTCAAACCGACTTTAAAAAAAAAGATTTATAAAAAGGGGTTACAGTATAAGGTTAAGTTAAGAACTCACCCGCCCTGTCTGTCTCTGTCCTGCATTTGGCAGAACTTCCTAGATAAAACCAGACAAAAGTTCACTTTTAAAAACAATATTAATAAATTTGAAACAACACAACCTCACAATAGTTGTAAACACCCGGTAAAAAACAACAGATAGTTTCTGTAACCAATGAAAGATTAATTATGAGTAAAGGCGGTTAAGGAGGAGTATCAGCTTTGAGAACTCTGGCAAGTTAGACGTCTTTGTATTTACATTTACACGCATGCAAACTCTCAAGGTCCGATTTAACAGCTAACATAAATGGAGATTCTCTACCTTCGTGGCTGTCTTCTGTCGTCTTGGACATGTTGACCAAAGTGCTCTCTCAACGTAGACACCAATGGAAAAATAGTTTCCTCTCCAGCGCACCTCCACTGAGTTTCCACAAGCCCCTCCCATACGTTCCCCTTTGGCTAAAGAAGACATGTTGATAACACGATTGGCTATCGTGCCTGTCAGTCACAGACGGATATCACGACTTCCGTGTTTGCAACATAGCTACGGTGACTAAGACAACTGTCATGTAACGCGAGCGCTCTCTAGTAGTACGCGGGGAAAATTCACTTTTTAACATTTACATTTTCAATTGAATAGATCTGAAACATACCATGCGCAATTAATACAACATTTAAAAAAAATGTGTAGCTACTTGTGAGTTTATGAAATAGGAAGCTAATAGGGAAGGCCTATGCTGCTATATTCTAATGTTGGTCATCATGGTGGTACTCAGAGAGCTCAATGTTTTCTCAGGTAGCACTGAGTATAAAAAGTTTGAGAACCTCTAGACTAAACCAATTAATTTAAAGTGGATTCAGAGACTAAAACCTTATCCATCCTTATCAAGTCTCTTTTATTCACAATATTGTAGCATTTAAAGTGGATTCAGAGACTAAAACACCTTATCCAGACAAGTCTCTTTTATTCACAATATTGTAGTAATGACTTTGTATATTTCACAATTTAAAAAGTAATTTATAATATATTGCAATTAAATATAATACATACTTATAAGAGACATTTAAGTTTAAATTAATTGTACAGTTTTCAAAAACATAACCATGGGCTAAAACATACAATTCATTTGGGAATTAAAAAAAATAAATCTCAGAAGACAATCAAAAGTGCTTTGCTGGTTAACAACTCCTTAAAACAGAAAGTCTATTGAAAAATAAGGCAGTGAGAATTTTTCAAAATCTTGTCAAAGTAAGAAAGACAACACTTTTGAAGATACACCATGTGTGATTGACCAACAAAGTGTCTCTGTACATAGGTGACATTCATTTTAATTGCAAGCAACCAAGCTGCTTGTGTGTAGCGACAGTACCCTGAATCTCACCAGGTTCCACTGAGGTGCACTGAGCATGACATCGTCCAAACACACTGCTTCCCTGCTGCTCTACTTGAGCTGCACACTGCTTACCATGTGATGGGATAAAGACAGAGGTCAAATTCTGTTGTGTGCAGTGGTGAGATGCGTCAAAATGAGAATTAATTAATTAATAAATGACTTTCACTGGTTATAATGGGTGAAGCAAGGAAATAATTGACCAAATTCTTGATAAGTAATACGGTTAAAAAACATAATATGGGCTTGGAATCAAACAAAAATTAGAGTATACAGTAGGTGCATTGGTGACTCAATAACAAATTTATTCAAGGTCAATGGACATTTCCTTACACAATATAAAGTATTATAAACTTTTCATAACAACTTCTATTTTCAAGTTCTATTTGTCTTCACAAATTGATATGTTTCAGCAGACCTCACCAGGACATTGAGTTGTGCATCATTCAACTGTGTTATCCCCTTTTAGCTCCTCCACATACAGACATCCTGGACCAAAGTACAGCTGAAGTTAAAAGCATCTGCTAATATAAAGAGAATATCCACATTTTCATTTAACAAAAGTGCATGACACCATGTTGAGAAAATATAAACTATTAAATCCTCCAGAACAATATTCAATATGCACTAATGTAGCGCTACATTCATTTGTCTAACAAGATTCCTGAGAAAATCTGAAAACTATTGGAGTAATTAGTTGCAAGCTCTAATAGCTCCTTGTTTTTACCACAGTATGTTCCAAGTCCAGTTTCTGCTACAGTGTCAGAGTTCCTTTTTTATTTCATACTGACAAACACAGGACTCCCGCTGGCTGTCCAGGTACGGCTTACATCCCAGGTGCATGACGGCATCAAACAGTAGACTCACTGCTGACTCACAGGCTGCCAAACAATGATAGGTGTTAGTTTGATGAAAAACATGTTCCCTCAAGCAATTTCAGTAGATTAAGATTGAAATGAGTTATCATAATAAAATAATTTGTAAACATGATAATCTCGGGTTATTTGATATATTATCCTAATCTATCAAAAGAGGGCAAAAACAAACAAAACAAGCACTGTTTCCCCCTGCTAGACACTACATTAAGTGCGCTGCCTGTTTCTGCACTTAATCAACATTGTAATATATGTTGAAACACAAATAATAAATTTTACCAGTGAATATTAGAAACAGTTTTTTAAATGTATTTGTATGGTTTATTTGTATATAAACCTGTGTTTAACCATTAAATAAAAACTACAGGAATGGATGTAATTTCACCTTGGACACTCTTGGCCAATCCCAGAGTTTTTTGCACATTCTTACAAATCGTCTCAAGACAGTCCTGGAACTGCTCATCGCAGTCTTGCTTCTCTCTGCCACAGGTGTCATAGCATCGATCATGTTGGTTACAGCATTTGGTCATTGATGGGATGCCTATGTCAAACTGGACACAGCAGTTCAATATTTATGAATATCTACTGTGAATACTACGAGCAATAAGTTGCTAAACAGTGCTAGGAAATAACAAAATACATTATTTTCAAAAAGTACTATATATTTTGTATTACTATACATTAAGTCTTTGGAAATGTTTTTACAATATTGGCTTTTATTTTAGGGTATACTCATAACAGCCCCAAAGCTGTTATGAGTATGATAACAAAAAATACAAAAAATATTTGTTTCTCATAAAATTTGATTCTTTAATCAGTAAGAGTAAGCATGTATTGATTGTAATCTGGCAGTTAATATGTATTATATGCAATAAAAAGTAAAAATTCAAACAGAGTGCAACCCTCCTGACGTAGGCATTGATGCATCAGAAACAGCAGCTGCAGCCATTACAACTGTGGTAACCAGCAACCACGGGAAATCCTAAATCAAACCTTGCACCAAAATGTTTTACACTTCCTCAATACCAGTGATACAGCCACAGAGAAAACTGGAGTAATCCCCACATCCTTTTACATTAGAGTACCTGGATTCCAAACAACGGGGACCCACATCCATTGGGTGGTGGCTGCTTGTATCTAGGACGAGGGACCGGCTTGTAACCTGTGAGACAAAGAGCAAAGGTAAAAGATTCTTTTTTTTTTTTAGTTATCTTGTTTTCAGAGATAACCACATCATACACAGACCATTTGTGACTGACTGTACCATTACAGATATGGTAACATAGATGTTTTAGCTTCAAGTCTAGGTTTGTCTCCTACTGAATGATCCTAAGCTGGTAACTACACAGAGGCATAAATCAAAATAATCTTCTGTTATGCATGTGGTGTGTCCTAATTTGAATGAGACCGATTAATTGGTTATATGTATATGTATTTAATGTATGTACATTTAGATGTGACATGTTGACATGGATATTTAACTCATTTAAAGACAAATTATCACTAAAGAAAGTGAAGTCTGGTTTACCATCGCTACACCTGTAACGACACAGTCCATCATCACCACCGAACAAGTCCAGCGCTGCGTTCAGGTACGTGTCTATTCTGTGAATTCCGTTACGGATGGTTTTCAGAGTCGTCCTCCAGTCTGGAGTCTCGGGTTCCTTATCCCACGCAGATACATAGCAGAACCCCCGGCAGCAGAACAACAACAACAAAAATACATAGCTGGAGTGGTGGTTACGCATAGTCTTTGTGGAAGCCGAGGACGTACAACGTAGTTTTCCGACAGGCTGTTACGCTGGTTGTTTTATTCCGCACACTTCTGCCTGGCCGCCATCGTTTATTTTGACTTCTAGTTTTCGTTTATATTCCAGGCACCTAGCACTACACTATTCTGACGAGCAGTCCTCTCTTCCTGGTTTGACGCTGTCACGTGAACACTGATTACCAATAGGAGATGACGCCAAAAGTTGCGTCAGTAAATCGCCGCTTTAAGCTCTGTAAACATTAATTCAAGTTCGTTTATTTTAATAGAACTAATAATGTGAAACAGCCTCCAATTGTCGAACGGGAGTTGCTATAGTGTCAATTCGGATGCTGTGAACAAATTAATTGCCTCACGTCTTTTATTGAGTGGAGGTAAAAATTTGCAAACTGAGTTGTTAAAAGAGGAAATCTAAATTTACTCCGCCAGTTTAAAGCCCCCTACAGTCCTGTCTCTGTTAATACACTTTAATCTTCAATGGAATTTTTTTTTTTACACCATTCTATTAGATTGCAAATTGAAATGAATATGTTTTGGTATATTGAGTGCATTTATGATTTATCCAGCAGTTGTTCGGAGAAGAAAAGGGTATTTTTTTTATTACCAAAGAAGACTAAAAGTTTTAAAAAAATAAACCCCTTTAAAAAATGACCATTAGTGATCTCTAGCCTGCAGATAAGTAATGTGTATGGACATCTATAGCACTCTTCATAAAAAAAAACTATTTGCTAATAGATGTAGCAATAACTATCACATGACCACAGATATTTTAAAACAGTCAAACTACGTACTATAAGACACAATTTATTTTTCTTATTGACTGAAACACACCCATCCAGTCTGAGGTTAGGTTTATTTTAATGTTCAGATGCACACCTAAGAAAACGTCTTTCTTCTATAGGTTCATATATTTTAAACATTCCCAAATGAAAATAAACAACCATTCGTGATTAAAAGTTCCAATGTCTCTGCATATAAACTCTTAAACAATTGTCACATTTTTTCCAACATAAAAATGTTCAAGTAACAAAATCACAGATATCTTTCTTTACCCACCGATCCTCATCTGCACTGAGGGTTAGGGAGGAAGCAAAACCGATGGATTGATGCTCTATATTGTCTTTTTTTCTGGGATGATTGGGATTTTTCTGGAGGACAGAACCATCAGATGTGTCCCTGAAGTCACCAGTGGTGTAGTGGGTGATAGCTTGATAACGAAAGGAATCATCCACAAGAGTCTTTTATCCATGTTGTAACCAGAAAAAACACAGATGCGCAAATATGAAGTGATGTCTTTAACCTAGTGTTTTTCTACTGGTTCAACAGGTCCTAACAAGGCAGTTCCTCAAGTGAGCAGTAGTGATGAAGAAGCAAAGATGGTGGAGGCAGGTGAGATGGTTGCTAATAAAATATTGAACAACAAATTACTTAATTTATTCATTTTAAGTTTTGCTTCTAGAGTGAAGACTTTCTTTAAAAAAACATGAGCATATACATCTATGCATTTATATTTACTAAATCTAAAAATGTCCTAATCATCCACCCCTGAATAAGTTATTTAGTCGGTCCAGCTCCTTGCAGTTATCCATGGTCATGAGCTCGGCCTTCTTACGCATTCGGTCATCCCTGTATACTTTTGCAGCGTACAGCAGGTCTGTCTCTGGATGATGACAAAACGAAAAACAATGTGAGTAGTAAAACCAAAGCTGTCCTGAAGGAAAACAAATTGTTTTTGTTGTGTTAACACTTACTTGTCTGTCTCTCCTTCCAACAGTTGTTCCTTACATTGGCTACATAATCATCCTCAACATTTTTCTCAACTTGCTGCAGCGCTGAGCCTTTATACTCTGACTTGAAATCTTTAGTGACGTAGTAGTCGACATGCAGGTTTTCCGTCTGACGTTTTAAGGTTTGACCAGTGGACCTGGTGGGCAGTGTTAGAGAACACAGCGGAGTAGAAAGAAAAAAATTACAATATTTAGAAACCAGAAAAACTGTTGTAGGCAGTACAACACAACACTGTAAATAAATAAACAAAAAGCCACAGGTACCGAAAAGTATTTGTCTTATATCTAAATAATATATACTGCATTTCACTCTGATTAAACTAAGTCACATTTTTATTAGTGTCGGTGCTTTACAGCATACACAGTTAGGGTTTCCAACTCGGGGCCTGCAAGCCGAAAGTGGCCGACGGATATTCCACATGCGTCCCGCAACAAGATGTCATTATAATCAAAATTTGACACCCTGCAAATATTATGCAAGCTGGATGTTGAAGCCACAACTTTATTTATTTCTAATAAATATAGTAAATCAGACAGTGTAAGGGACTTCAGCTACTTACAATTGTGCCTTTATGGATGAGACGTCAGTAAAGTGGACTAACAATAAAAATGCAAATGTACTCACGGTCTCGAATAGAGGCTGTAAGGAGGTGTGGGCACCATCATCTGGCTCAGTATTGAAACTAAAATCAGGACGATGACGGGCATTAGCTGGATAAACATTGAGAAACCACCCTGGAAACAAGAAATCATATAATTTTTTAACAAAATGGGTAATGTGATTTTTTAAAGCACTGGCACAGTGTGTAGATATATTTTTGCGTGCTCATTATTAAGGGTTAAAACAATGTCGGTTGGCATCGACGTACATCTCCCCTTTCTTCTGTTCTTTCCTGTCGATAATCTGCATGGTGACTGTAACTTGTTCTGCCGTTGTGTGCAGTTGCTGAAAATAATAGTAAAAAACATGATCTTTATGATATAGGACAACAATATGTCAGTAGATTCAGGTTGTCTTTTAAATTTGAAGAGATAATAATAAAAAGCAGACAAAGTTAACAACATGGTAAAAAAAAGCAGACAAAGTTAACAACATGGTACAAGGGACATAATGTTGATAATACCTCATTGAAAATAATGAATTTAAGAGCTGCAAACATACCAGAAGGAAAACCACCTCCAAAGAACATGTTAAAGAGATCCTCAGGCGTGATGTCAGCCTCAAAGCCCCGATGGAAGTCAAAGCCTCCGCCGTGTGAGTGAGCTGGGCTGCTTGGCTCTTCCCCTCCTGTCAAATCGTACTGCCGTCTTTTGTCTGAGTTGCTTAGCACTGCATATGCATTACCAATCTCTGGAGGAGGAAAAGGTCATGGCATTAATTCTGAAAGTGTAATCACTGTTTTGTATAACACCTCCAGACCAATGTATGTGTTCTGATTGGATGACAGCCACTGTATCCCTCACAGTGCTACAAAATGGAAGCACAAACATACTTTTAAAGGCCTCTGTTGCCCCAGGGGCATGATTTTTGTCTGGATGGAACTTGAGTGCAAGCTTCCTGTAGGCTTTCTTGAGGTCATCTTCATTTGCTTCTTTGTTGACACCAAGGACTTCATAATAGTCTTTGCACCCTTTTATCCTGAAAGAGTGAAACACAGGTGGACAAGTGCAGAGCATTAGAGCATAGTAGCTATATAAATGTTTAAAGAAGTATAAAATAAAATAATGAATATAAAATAATAAAATTAAAATATAATCATTTAAAGATAACTTGAGGATATTGCAGACTCCTGCTCGCCTCTCACAAGCAATGAACATTAACAAGGACCATCCACAGCCTGGTCACTACCTCTTATACCGTAGGTCAGTAAAACAGACTCTTACAGAACGTCTAACCCCACTATTTACAGACAGTCAACACACACTTTAGGTAACCGCTGTTGTACAATAATACCTGCTGTGACACATTATATGCATTCTTTAAATAATTTGCATACTTTTGTCTGTTTTTATGTGCTTTGGTTTTTTTGCATGGATCTATTCTTGTGGCTGCTTTTGTGCACACGTGTTGAACTATGGAAGACACCTGCAATCTCACCGTATCTCGTGTATAATGACATTGTATTGTATCTTGTTTTTTCTTATTAAAACATTAAAGCTACATAATCTAATCACTGTCACACATTTCCAGTTCTTAAGCGCTACAAGCACTAATGACTGCCATAGAAATTCTGATGAGATCACTGGAGACATAGTGGGTCGTGCTGTGTCTCCTAGAAGAAAATGATGCAATATTTAAACCACAAAAATTCCTTAGGGCATTAAGTATTGGAACGCCAGGGATTAAAGGATAAACTCTGATTAATTGTAATGCACCTGTGGGAAAGTAACAACTACGCTTGTTTATCAGAGACACATTATTTGCCATCACTGATTTTGTAAGGACAGACCTGCAGGATGTTAGATTCACCAACATGTTCTAATTTTAGAAGCAAAATAAGGGCAAGTAGTGGTTACCTGGTATCTAATTCACACCACTCTGCGTCGCTCAGTCTCTCAGCCCTCATGGGCAAAAGACTCTGTTTAAAATGTCCCCATAGCAATAGCTACTGTGTGTACGCAAACCTGTGGGGAGTTGACTTGTCTCTATCAGACATGACAAAGTGCTGTCCAATTTCCAGCAAAATAAACATACATAAAAATAAACATTAATAGTTCTCACCTTTTCACACCTTCAACCTGGTCCTTGGTGAACCCTTTTAAAGATTCTCCCCCACCACACTCTTGCCCATCTTTCTGTGACTTTGCTCCAGAGCTTTGTGAACTCTCTGTGAACCTCCTTTTATATGCACCGTTACCTGCTGAGCTCCCATTCTTGGTTAACGCATCCAGCAATGCTAAAATAAAGAAAGCAAGCCGAACAACGTCTGTTAGTGAATGAAAAACCACACGTCTAAGAGACTTGATCAATGAGAAAGTATGTAATGTGGATGTATAGTCTATATTATGGAATTTAAATTTCAAATCGAAACAGCCAATTCATTTTGAAATTCCTCTGCAGGGATGTTCGGCCAATGATTCACCAATAGTAACACTGGAAACCTTAGCACTAGTTAAGTTAAAGACTGGAGCACAGACTTCCTGGGTTGAATAAGTAACACTGTGAATATCCTTCTGCACCATAGTCAGCATGGGATGGAATTGCACCAGACTGCTCTAAGTGCTGAGGTCATATTTTGGATGGTTCCAAGTGTATTAAGACAGTTGCTAAAGAAATACTCTGCTACAATTGAACACCTGGAAATCTGCTTTTTTGTTTTTCGCTGTGTTTATTACAACAGGTAAAATAGCAATCAACTGTAAGCAGCCTTCCTTTGTCACTCACCATTTTCATCAATTAAACAAATGCAATTTCATTCTTTACATATTGTAATATTCCTTCACCATTTACAAAATCTCACCATCATTTGGTAAATCCTACTCTGGTATTTAAAGTTGCAGCTCATCATCTTAATACATGAATCAGCATGCTTAGTATTCCATCCATTCATTCATTACACAGTAAAATGTACAATATTTGTAACTTGAATTAATAATATTCAGTTGCAGAAACATTTATTAATACATTATGGAGCAGGTAAATCTATTCCATTCCATTCACAGAAGAATTTTGGAGTTTAGAACCACATGAGAAACCTCTAAACCTAGCAGCGTATCATCAGACATATGCATATGCAGTTTCCCTGGTTGTAGTAGGACAGCAACTGCCAGTAGAGCAGCTTTGGGCTTCTACAACATATCATGCAGTCAATTTACACGCCTGTAAAGTTAAGATTTAAAAAAATGAAATAATAAAAAAAAACCTCCAGATTTACTTGACACAACTATCATCTCTGAGACAGACGTGCGACCTGGATTAGCCTTTGCTTTGTGGCCCTCCTCGGCTCAATTAATGCGCTATAAGATTAACACCTGTCTCTACTGCTGAATGAACGTGTCATATGTTGCCTTCTTTCATCCAGGCGGTGGAAACGATGTCAGGTATTCTTCAAATAAATGGCAACACAATAGCCTGCTGCGCCAGTGCACATCATCTTAAAGAGGGCTAACGTTTGCTCCTTAATGGCCAGCGCCAGCCTCTTGCTATCAGCACATAAAACCATGGCTAACTTCATTACAACTTACAGCTTTTCAGCGTTTAAGAAGTAACAATATACAGCTTGGTTGCCTGTTGACAATTTTGTTTACCAATTAAACGGTTTCGATTGTGAAATACACTCAATCTGACCATTTAGAGAAAAGGTTAGCATTACGCTAACAGCTGGGGCTTGACAGTACACACACTAGGATGAGTCTACCTAGCTTTGACCGGCTACTAGCAGTTTCACACTCATACCTTTGGCTCTGTCAGTCGGGTAGAGCTTCTCTGCTTTGTTTAAAAACTTCAGCGCTTTGTCCTTGTCTCCAGCTTCGAGGGCTTTCGTCGCAATTTTTATACATTTTTCTGCTTCATCTCTATTCCCTTCCATTTTGTTTCCTGTACCTCCCCCCGCAGGACTCCGTCATTCGCTTCTCCTTACTCAGAAAGACACTCAATTTTAGGTGCACCCATACTAGAGGCGTTACGGTTAATTCACTGACCCACCTGTTAGACAGACGGTAAGTAATACAACTTACTTCCGTTTTCACAATAAAAGTAACTTTAAGATCCATTATTGTTTATTTAATTTTCATTATCGTTACACTGTCGACAATCTAAACACATAACTTATGTACATTAGATTAGCGTATACCTCTGATGATGCGGGTGCTTTTCACATTTTAATATGAAAACCGGATATGGGTGGTCACTGCATTACCTTACATCTCAATGTAAGAGGGCACTAAAAAGTCGACTGGGCTGGTTTTACACGGGAAGACAGTCGGCAATCAGCTGACCGGCTTAGATACACCACGTGATCAAGAGCACGGTCCACCGTAGTGTTACATGGTGTCAAAGAACCTCGAAATCCTCCCGTTACTGAAATAAAAACACCGTTTTATTGCTATATTGTCTAATGAGACAACAACGTCGGTCAGAAGATTCTTTTTAACAGCCTTCTGTCAATGAGAAGAAAATAAAAGTAAATCAGAGCAACACTTACTGCCATTTAATTTAATACACGTGTACAATATGACCAATAAAATAAAATAAAATAAAATAAAATAAAAAAATGCCCAAAACTCCTCCAGCTGAATCATATTAACCAGGACCAGATGCTCATATACGATATTTAAAAGGTTTAATGAACCCAGACTATGTTCATTTTTTTCTAACCATGTTGCAGGGAAACGTGATATTGAATCTAAATGAGTTTTATTAAGATTTAAAACAACAAGAACAAAGAAACAAAGCACTGACATAAAAGACCCAGAGCTTTATCCAAGTAAATAAATGTTTTTTTTATTAAATTTGTTATTTCTGTCTAAATGCATAATGATGACACAATGGTGTAGACTTCTATAGAGTTCCATAGAACCAATATCTCTAGCTGCTGTTCAAATATGATGCGACTAAATAAAGTTTTTTTCTTTACCGTGTACACAAATTACTGTAAACCTACAATTAGCTATTTCATTAGTAAGTGCTACATCCTTAACAACCCTCGAAATGTAACTTATTTATTTGTAACCAAAGCTTTAGCAATAACATTCACAAAAGCCACAGATGTAAATACTGTATATATTCCACAGTTTTGCATAATGTTACACCAGTGCGTTCATCTTTCGCAAAGCTCAACAGATTTAGTGACCCCTGGGGGATCCACAAAGTACTGCAGAAAATTGAAAAGACGCTTGAAACATGAATATATTAAAGTATATTTTGAATGGATTTGAACTCAAAATAAGGTACCCTCAATACAATATGAAACATTGTAAACACATTAAAAGTCAATGATCTCTATCCAATTGTCTGTATGAGTTGGTATGAGCCGTTGCTGTTACTGTATATGTAAATCCATAGTCAGATGTTGTAACATGAAGTAAATTACATAAGTTTAAATTACATTTTTCTATTTCTTGATAAAATGTAATATAAATCAGCACATACTGTCCATGCCACTGTCATATGTTGCCACCCTCAAAAACATGACCCTCCCGATACAGTAAATCTGTACTTTTCAGATCATCCACTTGAAGTAACATTAACACAACACAGAATCATTGAATTACTTACTTTAATTAAAAGTATTTTTTTAAAACAAAATACTTTTTACAACAGCTGGCTAAAGGCAGCTAATACTTTCAAGACCTTTATTTACTTTTACTAAACATTTACTTTTGGAGAAGAAACATGACCAAGAAAGATGGTCTTGAGATTTTAAATCAGGTTTATATATATATATATCCCATGAGTCGCATTCCTGGCATCTTTAAGCTGGTGTACGTGAAGGAGGAAGTTTGGCTGAAAATGTGCCCATTGTGTTGAGCGTAGCATGAATTCGGAAATGTAGCCTTGATTCCATGTTGTAGTCTTTGTAGTTCATCCTAAAACAATAACACGTATTAGCATGTGCCGCATATTAAAATGGCGTGGGATAAGACAGCAACTGATTTTACACTTTACCACATCAGAGGAACAGTTTGAGTTAAAAGTTAAAGAAGCAAGGTTAGGTTGGACATGTGCCACTGAGAGACAGTGGATAAATTAGACAAGTAATGCTGAAAATGGAGCAACCAGGAAAGGAAGATCTCAGAGAAGCTACATGGATGTAATCAAAGCGAAGTAGCTTGGCGCCCCCTAAAGGATGCAGCCGAGGAAGGAGTTAGCTTAATTTTTTTTTTCCACATGAAAAAAAAAAAATCAACCAAAACAATCAAGTACAGTGGGTCCTCCATATTATGTCCAACACTTACTTGACATTTTCAATCACTTTGATGGCAGCCTGGATGTCTCCTTTCTGTTTGTGTAGCAGCCCCAGCTCATATATGGTAAATGGCACCAGGTAACTTTCATGCTTTATGTTGTTTTCACTAGAAATATAAAGATCACTTTTGAAGGAATGTTTACAGTCATTTACAGATAATATTTTGCCTTGAGAACGTGGGGGTCACTCTGCCCTTTTCACCCATGAAAATATAAGAATTGTACAATACGTGACGCAGGTAACGGATAAAACCAATCATTAAACACCATGCAGTTTTCTGAAAGCGTTCTGCTACTTTTTAAATTTAACTAAATATAAAAGGAAATTTTTAGTAAATCCTCTTCCTCTCCTTAGTTAATTTATTATCTTACAATAATTTCCCTTTAACTTCCAGTTCATTTCATTTTTAATGCTATGTTAGGAAACACAGCCCTTTCCACACTTTATTAGTCAAGTCACAGAATTTCTGTTTTGGATTGGGTCAAAAACTATATTAAAGTTTGCGTGAACTAAGATAAATTACATAATAAAGTCATTTATGAAGGCTAAAGAGTTTTAGCCTTTTCTACGCCATCTATTGGAGAAATATGGGCATTACAGGGAGAAGGCAGAAGTATAATGATAAAATAAATTAATGATTTTGACAGGTTTGGTGGGCTGGATTAAAAAGCCAAACGGACAGTATCCAGCCCGTGGGCCGTAGTTTGTCCAACTCAGAAGGAGTTGAGGCCAACATTTTGCCAGCAGAGCAGTATTTCTATTGACTCATTTAACACATGTTAAAACTGAATATGAATCTGCATCAAAGTTCATACTTGTCCCACACCCTGATGACCTGGGTTTGATAAGACTACTATTAAAATCATAATCTGAGTAATTTCCTTATCGGGCAATCACATCACTCATGAGTGAAGAGGTGGACCTCACCTTGCAATAACATGATTAAAGCATCGCTCGGCCTCATTCAGACGGTCCAAATGTCTGAGACACAACCCCTTCAGCAGTTGGACAACGCACTGATCATCCAGGTGATACTCGGATGGATCTGAATGAAATAAAAAGATACAAAATGTTAGAGCTTGTAACATAAGAACAACATTACAGTTCTCCTGTGCGTCTTACTTTGATCATTTTTCAGCTGCTCCTCTGCTTTTTCCAGGGTGGTCAAGATGTTCTCGGTCAGCTCAGGCCTTTTCCCAAGTATCGTGAAGCCATTCCAAACGTACATCATTTCCTGGGATGAAAAGATTGATGCTGTAATTTTTGCTGCTTTTTATTTATTTATTTTATACATCTGAAAAGAGTGTCCTACAATTCTTACCAATGCAGGAACAACTAACTTGACAGGGTTAGGGTGAGAGTAACGCTGAGCTTTTTTGGCTGCAAATTTCTCCGTTGGAATAGATTTCCCAGCGATCCGGAGTCTCAGATGATCCACCTGCCTACAAATGCCAGTGCAATTCAAATTTACTGCATTAAGAATACTGTAAACATAACATCCTCTTTCTTTAGCACACCTGAATAACTCCACGACATTCTCCCCTAGTTTAGAGACTTCTTCCTCTGGGAGCATGCTCAAGATGGCTGCCTTCTGGAAAACATAAACTGCCTGCAAGAACAAAGCAAGAGCCATGTATAGTATAAAAAAAGTTGAGTGTGAAGAATATAAGACTCCAGTGATACGCCTCAACCAAACACAAGGTTGCATTAAATACCTGGGACCATTTGCTCTCTTTGCAGAGAAGGTCAGCGTAACGATAAGCCTCCATCCAGTTCTGCTCAAAGGAGTAGGCCCACATCAGCTCCCAGTAACACAGGTGGTGAATCTGATGCCACTCTTCTTGGGCTGCGATACATGCGAGAAACTTTTCCTGGGCCTGCAAAGAAGACCATACACGTTGAATCCCTTTTTCCTGGGGCCGTGTCAACATCTACTGATTAGACCGACAACTCACAAATGTGAAGTTTCCTTTGAGCAGAGCAATTCTGGCAACGTAGAAAAGCATGAGGGCTCCCTGTGGAAAAAAAACAGTACAATTATTGCACATGACCTGAGTCTCTATCAACAACTAGGAATGGCTCGATACAACTTTTCATATATGATACTGATTCTAAAACTTGGGAGTATCTGCCAATACTGATATCAATCCAGCATGCCGTGGGCTGCCGTTGCCGAGGCAACAGTGTCCCCGTTTACAGCATGGTCCGCAAAGTTAAGTTGCACATTTGAGCTTAGGTATCAGATCGGATTGGCTATAGTTGTTTCTTTTTTCTATGTTCAATGCTGAAATTTTTAATGATATAAGACCGATACTGATCCTGAGTATTGGATCAAGCCATCCCTGTCAAGAACAGCACGGCCTGTTATCTGTCAGAATGCTTACATTAGGAAACTTCTCAGTGTAAGGTTGAAGCAAAGTTTCAGCCTCGGTCAGGTCTCCCTCACCAGTACCTTGAAAAAGAAAATAAAATTTATGATAATTTATAAACATAACAAAATATTCTTTATCTGGAATTGTATTTAATGTTGCAATTAAATCCAAAAGTGATGTAGAGACCAAGTATCACTGTGATGTATAGATGAAACATCAGGAGAGTCAGGGCGCTGAGGATGGAGCGCAGGCTGTCGCTGGCCGCACCTTCTCGCAGCAGTGACAAACCCAGGTCCTGTGGGCCGTAACATGTGATCATTGGTTTTGATATACACAACTCTTTTTTCACACACAAAAACTCATACATTAGGACCAAGACACTAGTTCCAGTGACCTACCCTGTCTCCTGAAAAACCCAGAAACTCCATCAGTCGGAGAACTCTTGATGGCAGCAGGGACAGCATCTAATAACAAAAAGACTTTTCTTCAAACAATGTTTAAAAATCCGTAGTTTATCCCTTTATGATAATTCTCATAAATTCTTCATTAAATGCATAATTAGTGAAGCTCTCACCAGATTAAATGACCCAATCCCCATGTTGACACCGCCCTTAAAATGAACATACGTGCTCCTTTTTTCCATGTCTTTGGTAGCATTAGCCATGGCCAGGCAGTCTCTGATTGGATGAAGCACATTCAAAACATTTAGATATTTCCACAGTGCAATAATACATTTTCTTTCCTAGGTGATATATTATTATTTCTCCAGTTTCCCATTCAAACCTGTTCCAAATATCTTACTTGTAAATCTGATAACTGTTTCTTATTTTCATGCCACCTTTGATGAACCCAATAATACTTTCGTCCAGGAATGTAAGCGCTGCCTTCTGGAGCAGAACCTCAGCGTAACACAGCTCTGCATGCAGCTCCTCTGTGAACAGAAATAGGTGGTGCAATTTAATATTCAAACTACTCAGAGGGTAAAATACGACATTCTCCGACCCTTGTCTACTTACCCTCCGTCATACTGTCTGATGGTTGTCTGTACCACATGCTGGTCAGAGTCTCCACGATCCCAGTTTTTTTCCGAAATCTTTTAAAATAAAGGAAGACAAAATTGATGAAGATTACACAACGAATAGCAAAACAATAAGATTGATGGTAAAACTCTGAAAATACATTCATAAGGAACATTTTAAAATTATAGGAAGCAAAAATGTATATTTTTTACCCTTGGCACGTCTGCAGTGACTCTCTCAATGAAGTCATGGCAAGATCCATGTCCTTTGGGTCAAAGGTCATTCCAGCTTGCATCACCAGGATACTGCTGTAGCCCATAGCGTGGTACATGCTTTTACTCTTCCTGGTAAACATAAATGCCGTTTTTTTTCCTTTAAAAAAATACATGTGTAAATGTACATAAAGAGCAACTGACATACATGTGTTCAAGTCTTGAGCCCCTCATGTATGAATGTGACAAAAAGAATGCCTAATAAGATGCAAATGATATTCATTTTTAACCACCTTCCGCTGAAGAGCAGCATGATAGCCAGGTGAGACCAAGGAAACCTACTGGAAATACCACTGGGGTCAACTGCTAATCTCAGGTTTTTACCATTTGGAGATTTATCACATATGCTGTTTATCTATTATAAACTTATTTATCTATTAGACTCAAACACACCATAACATCTTCAACTTGAAGTCAAACTTAGTTTCATCATGTTCAATGAACTTAAACACACCAGGGCTTTAGAGCGGCTAAAGCATCAGAAAATCTGTTGTTCAGGAACAGTTCCAGGGCAGCAGAGCATTCCTTCACTGCAGTCTCCAGGTCCATTGTCGATGATCTGATTAAAGATAGAAGAACTGTAAGACACACTCTTCTTTTATTGGCAGATAACATTTTTCATTATTTTGATCCTTTATGTGATCAGTAAAAGCAGGTTTTAACCTCACTTACACTGTCTCATCATCGGTGTTCTTGAGGTTCACCTAGAGCAAACAAAAAAGTATTCAAAACATGTATCTAGACGCGCGCGCGCGTACACACACACATACACAGAGGCGGGCACACCGTAACCTGAACCTTATCCCTAACAGTAAAACCTAATTATAATCCGCAACTTTATCTAAACTTCAACCAAAGGAATAATGGTTATCTCTCTAGACCGGGTTCTGGTCTCCATTAGGACTACAGGTATCAAGAGGACCACCAACGACGTCGGAAATAGTCATAAATAATCAAGAAATACATACACACCAACACGACCCGATGCGGTATAAACTTAACACCGCAGTGGAGTTTTGATTTTACACCCATTAAGGTGATATTAACCTTTAACTCAACGACGTCTTACTCGGGTTGAGCGACGTATTGGAGTTAATTGTTGCTGCTAGTTTAGTAAATCTAACTCGAATCAAACGACACATTAAGAGTGAAGGGTGAAAAAAATGAAATTTACCTCCGACAGGTTAATGTCTGTCGTCTCCATTTGATGCCGGATGGGGTTGAATGGCTTGTTGTGACGGTTGGAAGTAAATTAAATGAGAAGAAGAACAATTAAAAGAGCCTTATTTCAAAACAGCGATAGACTGATAGTAGTGATTTGATCAGCCGCTGCATTTATTTGCTGAAAGAAAAGGGAGTGGTTTCGATTTGTAAACCCAACCTTCAAGATATTTTAAAATCCCTCCCGCGGCGTAGAGATATCAATATTTAACAATTATTAGAAAAAACCATGCGTTAATTTTATAAAGATTTTCTTAATTAAAAAAATTAAATCGAGAGAGGGCCGCCCTGTGTTATATTTAAGACTACGATTGTGTGAAAGGTAAACGCCAGGGGCGCTGCAAGGGATTCTGGGCACCAGGAAAGGATGTGACAATGAACCCCTATGTCATAGGGCCTATGAGATCAGATGCATCGTAATTTATCTTTGATTCTGGAGAGAATTTAAAGTTACAAAAATTACACAATATTAAATTAGTAAAGAAGATGGTAGTAAGCATACCAACAACTTTGTAATTCCCCCTATAAACTGGAGGAGAAGATTTGAAAGCGTTTGTGCTACTAATTATGTTACCTAAGGACAAGCCCGCGGCCCCCAGCTGCGGAATGACCTGTCAACAAAGGTTACACTCAGTTATCTCCAAAAAGAGTGCTTCATTTATTTTCAATTTACCGTTTCTGATCCACATTCATGTGATGTCCCTGTATAACTAATTTGTTCTGGTGGTTTTGTCAGTCCTCCTGCAGTGCTACAACTGTTCTTTGTAGTAACCCGAACCCTTGAAAACAGTTAGTTACATTTTTCACATAGAAGATGGAGAATTATTCCATACCTAATCAAGCTAAAGCTTCTGTTCTGTAGTGGTGGAAATAGAAAATGTAATAATTTTGTTTTCACCATGTGACAATGTTGTCATATTACCTTAGCTGACATTTTTTAATACTAAAATATTTGTTAAAATATACTAATTTTATAGTCAACATTCACGTCCTAAACAAGAAGATACAAATAAATGGCAAACTATGCATGGCAATATTGAGTGTATATATTATATAAAATACATCATATTTTTGTTTCTTTTAAAACATCAAAGATGTTTACACTGTTTAAACACTTTTTTAAAATCACTGTCTGACATTATACCAGATTAACTTTTTCATTGATTTGTATCCATTTGGCAAAGTAATAAGAAAGAGAATGTTTTATATTATTCATTATAATTTTCTTTACATCATTTCAAGTTGTCATAAAGTCAAGTTCACATAATGGTAAAATTACTCTACTGTTAAACTAACGTTCAACTAAAACTGAGTGTTTAACAGGTTAATTGAAAACATTTTATTTAATTTGTTGAAAACATAAAGTGTGTAACATGATAATCTAATCTCTGGACTATTTTATAATTATTATCTGTCTTGAGGCATCTCCACGTGTCTTTTAATGTATATAACTTGCATTTACAAATGTATACAAAAGTATCTATTCACAATAATATTAAAATAAACCATAAAATAAATATTGAAAAGTAGATTTATATTTTACAAAATGAAAAAATATGCTCTGTAACTCTAACCTGTCTCTACGTCTGCCTTCTACTTTTCCTTTACTACAATACCCATGATCCTCTGCGCTGTGACGTTAGCGGAATCATGGCAGCCTCCAGAACTACTATGGAGAACGAAGACAACATCCCGGAATATGAATATGTTGATGTCAATACCAACGTTTTTCACATCGGCTCATTCCAGAGCGAGTGGCTGAAAAGACTGAGCCCCCAAGAGTGGTCCTACCAGCAACAGGACGAGACAGAGTTCGACGCGAACTTCGCTAAAGACATGCAGATCAATGCGCAGACCATGGACGCGCTCAAGTCCGTCTGCAGGTATATTAACCCACATCATATATAGGTATATAGTGTATACCTACATATACAGTATGTTTAGGTGAGGTTTGTAACAGTGCCTGGGAATGGGTCATTAGTAAGTAATGTGCTGTTTTACAGTGAAACAGTCCAAGAGCATGAGGGAGAGTCTACTTTTGATTTAAGTTAGCATCAATGGATGTGAATGGAGGGGTTGTGAGCAGTAATGTCCCTGTGTGCACAGTGACGTGAGTAGGTCGCTCATCTCTGACACAAGGAGGGGTTGTGAGCAGTAATGTCCCTGTGAGAGGGTGTTTACACTCAAATGAGACACTTATGCCACGCTGACGCCAAACTTACGTCTAGCCGTTATCCATCGCTCTCTAAATGAGTGAGAGCGTTAGATAACAGTCAGACCCCCACTACAACCCCACCCTGTGTGATATCTACACAGGTGTAAAACGATTGGATTAGGATTCATTCAACATTTGCTAGGTTTCAGTGAGGGACATGAACTCAAACCTGGCAATCAACATGTGATTATAAATTAAGTTCTCCATCATATTTGAATGTTCTTTGAATTCAAATAGAAAAAGTGTTACACACCAACGTAAGGTCAGATTGGTTGAAAACTACTTAATGGTCTTTCAGGGTTGATAAGAGACCTGCAGTGACTCCAATAGTCCTGATAAAAATGATTCAGGATATGTTAACAAAGGATCTTGATTTTTCATCCTCTCTTTTCAGCTATGATTCCCTTTGTTGTCACCCCGAGGAAGAGAAGCCTGATATGGAAACAGTACCTGAGGATTCTATTCTTAGAACACTTTTGTAAGATTGCTTTCAGCATCTCAGCAGTCACACTGTATTCAATGTCACCCAGCATATTTACTGTAAACTGTCTGTGATTGTCTTTGGTTAGACAGAGGAAAAAAAGACAAGATTACAAAGCCTCTCTGAAAATCCACAAGAACAGACACGATCTCTATGCAGAAGAACTAGTAAGTGTGTTTCCGTGTAGTCGACAAATGTTTAATTAACATTTTTACAGGCCAAACTAGCTCAACAACTTTTAAGAACTTAGCAGCCTAACTGAATTTTCTGCTTGATTTCCAGGACAGATTAACAGTCGTTCGGAAACCAGACACTGTCACAGACATGTTGCCAGAGGGAGAGATCATCCTAACCATCAACATTTACTACCCTGCTGTTTTTGATAAAGTACGTGACATATTTATTTTGGCATGCTGACGACCTTTACACCACACTGAGACTTCTGTCTGTATGGTGCTCTCCACGGTAATCACAGGTGTTTTTTTCCCCTCAGTTTAACTATGTAAGACCCCACATGACTCTGCTGATGACTGGCTCCCACACTTTGGCTGAACTCAGAGACGCCATTTGTTGCGTCAGTGACTTGCAAGTGTGCGGCGAGTTCAGCAACACACCAGACGTGGCCCCGGACTTCACAAGTAAAGTAAGCACATGTGCATTTACACTGTGTGGGAGAACATTTGTATTTGGCAACCTCACTCGGAGCTGATGATTTTGTGGTAGATCACCTGTGTCCACACTTTTTTGGCTTGGGAGCTACCATTCAGATGACCAGGAATGCATGATGCACAATTCAATTCTTACAGTACAGTATATGGTCACTACTACACACTATTGAATTATATGTATTTTTTAATTCTATTTTAATTGCTCTGGATCTACCAGCACTCCCCTTTTGCGATCTACTGGTAGACCCCGATCTACTTATCTGTGGTGTATCTTGATTGACCGCTGTGATCATGTGACTGTAATAGTGACAGCTACTAAAATGTCTCTTGATACTATGTTCTTTGTAAGGCTGTCCTACCAAACCCGTCTTCATGTGTGTCTTTTGTGTCTTTACAGGACCTTTATAAGTCTGCATTCTTCTTCTTTGAAGGGATTTTCTACAATGACATGCGATTCCCTGAGTGCCAAGATATCAGCATGTGAGTTTATCAGTCTTTGAAAAGTTGTGCTGTAGAGAGTTACTGCAGATGAAGCTGCTTATTGACGATGACTTAAAGCTGAATTCACACTATTGTCACATGGGTATCATTGACATGCTCCTGAGTTGTTTTTGTTTGAATAATCAAATACTCTATAAGGCTGATGTAAATGCTGAATGCCATCTGGCTGTGAACCAAATGGCATTCAGCAGTGTGAACAAGTCCATTTCAGTTTGGGGTTTATTAAATCCTTGTGATCCAGATGTCTGAACACACTCCTCACAGTTATTATAATAGTTACAATTACAGCAGAACATTGATTGCCCTTGATTTGCTTTAATGACATGCTGAAAACTGTTGATGATGATTGTAAAGTGTGTGCACTGCATTTTAAAAGTCATTGATGGCATCTATCTGGTTATGTTGTTAAACGTCACAAATATGTAGGCAAGGAATTTAGAGCTTATTGCTGAGTCGATTCTTCCAATTAGAAGTTGATAAAAGTTTAATTGAAAACATCCAAACTTCCCCTCAATATTTTAAATATTTCATCCACTACATTACTGTGTTGAGGGTCACAGGGTGACCTGAAACCAATCCTGGCTGACCCCTCACAAAGGTTGGACAGGTCACAAGTTCTTCACAGAGCAACAAGGAGACAAACAATCCAAGACACTCTCAAACTTACAACACACTACAAGACTGTGAACTCACAGGCACCACAATCTGGTATAGATATATTTTTTGATAAACCAGAATCCATCAGACAGCAGTGTTCAGTAAATCTGCTGATGGTATTACAAGAGGAACCTTTGCTTAGTTTCTTGAAATTTTCCTCATCAATAATTCATGGTAGTTTAAAGTGTTGGTACTAATCATGAATTAGGTGCTTGTTTTCATTTGACGTAGTGTGGTGAAGATCCCACGTGGAGACAGAAAACACTCAAGGGCACATCACCCTTCACTCATTAACCATTTCCAAATCACATCATTGCATGTAAGCGTCTACAACCTAAGGTCATCGGTTTTAGTCAGATAGACTGGTGTACAGTATATCTCTTTCATTCAGCATTATTATGCCGTGTAAAAATCTAAAACAGGTAGGAACCTCAAGCTGTCGCATGACACACTTGTGCTTGCACCACAGGACGATCATTGAATGGGCAAAGTCCCACAACTTCCCTCCCTACAGCCAGGCCGGGATGGAGGACACTCGCTTTTCGGATTTGAAAGTAAAAGTAGGCTTTCCGTACCTGTACTGTCACCAGGGAGACTGCGAGCACCTCGTCATCATCACAGATGTCAGGTTAGTGTCATAGGTTTATGGCTCTGCCCTAATTCCAGACCCAGAGGCGATTTTAACTTATCAACCACTGATGAATATTTTAGGCTTTGTTCAGAAACTATAGGCACGGGGGTTCAACCTCATGCAGAAATATTAGATTGATATATAAATGTTAGAAAACCAACTCTTTTGTGTTCTTCTGTAATGAACTGGGTGTCATAATGTTAGGATCTTGGTTAATTGAATAAAATATACCATAAAAATATTTTGAGAGAGGAACTGGGATACTGGGATATAAAAATGTCAGGAGTGGCAGAAAAGTATGGGATACACAACATTAACAAAGCCAGCGAGACAATGGTTAGCTGTGCAGTACAATCTGAAGTATGGAGCTCTTACCTGACCTGAACCCATCTGTCACTCTGATTGCACCGCTAACCACTGTCTCACTGGCCTTGTTGATATTTTTCCTTCAGTATCCCAGTTTCTCTCTGGAAATCCAGATGCTGAGATTGTCACTGCGGGGAGACATGATTGGAAATGAGCAGATCAGAGGAATACAATTGAACTTTTGTGTTTGAATTGAACACCAGTAAAAATATCGTCGCCTTTTGCTGATACTGATAAACTAGATGTTGAATTGTGCTACCTCAGTGCACTCTGCACGATGAGAAGACTTTAAAGCACCTCGTGGACAGACAGGATTTGACTGCTGTCATAAGACTGCAGTGCTCATTTGGTTTCATCACACCAAAAATGCGTGAATGTCAATTAGTTGCTGTGAGCAGGGCAATCGTACATGAAAGCAGCTCTCAATATTACAAATGTGTGACCAATGTCTGCTCTCATCACTCATGACTTTGGCTCAGGCTCTTCTCTCTTTTACACACTACAGACTGACACACAGGGACGACTGTCTGGATAAGAAGTTTTACCCGCTGCTCATCCACAAGCACAGAATAGCCACCCAGAAGTGTGCAGTCTGCCACATCTTCATTGGAAGGTTTGTAAAACTTTTGGAAGACATTAGTTTTTAAAAATTGTATCCCTTTAAAACTGAGCCTTCAATTCTCGTTAACAGGTGGTTCACAAAGAATGATCAGTTTGCTCCCAGTGACCCTTGTCTCTTCTGTGAAAAATGTTTCCGAATGCTTCATTACGACAGCGAGGGGAAAAAGCTTGGTAATTTTGTTGCATATCCCTATGTTGACCGTGGTGCCTTCAACTGAAGTTGTCCCCCTAGTGAGATGCACATATCACCGAGTTAAATGCTGTACAATACAGTTTTAATATCTTTCTAATGAGAGAAATTTTTTTTTTGTTCTTTTTTTGTCAAATATTTTTGCTTTGACAAGAATTGTTTGTCTGCAAACTTATGTTCTATTTTGAAATGAATAAAAAAATGTTGAATTTAAAGGATCTCAGTTATGTATTGTGTATTACATTAGTTTTGGGGGGTAATACAATTTCCAGAATTCCCAACCAGTCCATAGCACAAGAATGTTTTGGGATTGTTATTTTATAGTAAAAAACACAAAGAATTTCAATGAAACCTGGTGAAACAGATAAAAGACACCAGACTGACTTCTCTTATAATCATGCTCAAAAACAAAGCAACAGAGTGCAGAAAATCTTAAACTGATGAGTCAGACAGTGAAATATGATGAAATAAGTGTTTGGATAGTTACTCAGCAGCACACTCCCTTCAGTTTCTACTTTCAAACTCCACTTAACTACATGAAAGAACATTGTAATGCCTACCAAACTGCTATTGTCATTGAGACAATATAAACAGATGGTTATGCACCTCAACCACTGTGGTGCATGTGAAGACAATAGTGATATGAAAGTTGATATGCCTTACTAAAACTTTCCATGCAATAGCACCACAATCTACTAACTCACAGCAAAAAAGTTAGTTTGATTCTCTAGTGTACAAGTGGTTTCCTGGGGGTCCTCGACTTATGTCATAGTTCTGTTCCTATGATATGATGTAACACTGACCTACACTAACACAGTGGTAACACAATCCATTGACAACCTACAGGTGGTGAATGTAAACAGAGGCATGTACTGTGTGTAACCCTGTGTGATGACGCATTCTCTAATATTGAAGGTTGGTCCGTGTGTGTGTGTGTGTAAAAGCATTTTAAAACAATACCTGACAGTCAGTGTTGTCTATAGACTACTTTAATATGAGATGCTGAGACAGGTCATAAAACAAGCACAAAAATACTCTTATTTACAACCACGTGTTAAAATACCACGGTTGAGTAGACACTTGAATGCGGCAAACAACCATTCGCAAGCTGCGGAATTTTCTTTGTCCACTTCTGAAGGCAGCAAGTAGCAGAAATTGTCACACACCAACAGTTTGTTATGGAGGAATCTGTGGGTGAAGCACATCTATAAATAATTCAGTGGTGTGACATTATTAATTGCCAAAGACAAATTCAAACTTGTACCAATCAACAAAACATCTCTCCCACAAAAGGAATGCTGCCAGATGTAATAATTTTAGTAAGAGCTAAGTTGACACTGTTCCAGAATAACAACTTCTTGAGCTTTTGCCAGTTATACCTTAAGCGACTATGCAGATAGGAAAGAAAAAGGAGTACACATATTAAAAAAATAAACCAACTTAGTCATTATTTTCATGGTTAGAGATGTTTGATGTGTTGGACAAGTCTTTGAGCAGCAAAACAAACTGTCAGTCAACTGGAAACCAGTGTTGAAGAAGAACAGGACAGAGGAACCGGGTCAGTGATCCCAGTGTGGACAAAAGACCGCCAGCCAATGTGGTGGACACTCAGGTGGTTTCTTCCTGAGCGTTTGGAGTGCTGGAGTCAGAAATAATGAAAGAAAAAGGTCAAAATGTAAACAGATTTTCATTTCAGCTAATTCAACATTTTTATTTATCAATATTTCTGATACATCCGATCGGTTCTTACGGTGTCTGTGATTTGCTTTTTGCCGTAAGTCGAAACTCACATATCAAACATAAGTACCAATGTGACTCACCAATGCTAACACAGTGGTAACATCATAATCTAGGACCTAAAGAAGAGTCTGACTTACACCTAGGGGCCATAATGAGGGACAAAAAGTCCCTCCCCCCCAAAAAAAACCCCAACACAAACAAGGAAGCGAATGCAGCACATAATACATTTATGGGAGATAGCGACTTAACCACAAAACGCTGTAGGTCAAAAAACAAATACACTGTCCTTCTGCTGTTTGTGTACAGTACCTGTAATTTTTTTCTGAGACATCTTCTGGTAGCTTTTCAGTCTCCTGCTTCTTCTGTTCAGAACCCGTGTCCCCATTTGTCAGCTTGTCTTTAGGCAGTGAACAGGGGGAGACAAACAACGTGAGATAACAGGAGTACACAACCTAAGCCAAAGCCATGTGACGACACAGGCACAGCTGAGACCAAACCACACTGAGTTCAACTTCATTTAACAACTGTTTGGTGTGTCCCGCTACAGTGGAACGTCTTTCTCACGGCTGTTCTTCTAAGTGGAAGATAAACATCATCCAGACAGTTCACATGAACATGGATGCGGTTGCACATGTCTCACTACTGTCCACTACATTTGACGTCTTCCAGGGAGACTGAGGACATACTGACTGAAGGCACAAAAATGTCTCTGTTCTCTCTAGAGATTTCTGATGTGACATCACAGGAATTACAGCAGCATCCTGATTTACATGTTGAACGTATATCCAGAACGATTATTTATTATTATCATTATTATTTATATGATAATGTTGTGTGTGCAGTGTGTATTACAGGTGACTCTGTACCTGAGTTGTTTTCCTTGGCTTGTTCAGTCTTCTTCATGGCTCCTTTCTTTGCCTCTTCGTGCTGTTTCTGTTCTGCTAAAGACTTGTTGAGCACCTGGCTGAGCACACTGTCTCCTTCACCGACCAGAAACATGCTCTTAAACTTGTTGTACAACATAGTGGCCTTATCCATGATATCCTGACTGGCCTTGAACCTGCGGATCTGCACAGTAAATAAAAACATTTAGTAAAAAGGTAAACCTCCCCCCAAAAAACAGCATTAATTAAATATTATATAATATTTTTTACTCTAAAATGTCCTCATAATTTAATCAGTTCAGGTCATCTGAAGCTCTGAGGCTGTTCAACACACAACATACTTTATGTAAATAGACAGAAGCCCTAGGTTAGGTTTTAACAGTTCCAGGAAGGAAGAAAACAACTCACAAATCACAAGTCACACCATCCCCATGCTCAGAAACGAATACATTATTAATACATTTTAACATGATGTAAGTTCCTCTTTAGAATAGTTGTTTAACAGTCAAATACTTTTTAATTGAATGTCAGAGTCTCTGCAGTGGATTAATGCTTGTCGATTTTATTTATTTTTTTATCACGTTCATTGCCCCCTTGCGGTGAAAAAGTATAACGGTTTGCGGGCTAACGTTTAGTATATAAAACAATTAAATGCCGAACACTGAATTGTGATACAAGCAGACGATGACAGCAAACTGTATATGCTGTAGTTAGATCGTTTGGCCCTTAAACATGTGTATTTAGTATTAATTCATGAGTAATAAAGACATAATATAAAATTAACATCAACAACATTCTCCCCAGCATTACTGTATTATGGCTAACTTGCTATTTTACTATACCGTATTTTTACATCCAGTAAATGTACCTGGTAAATTTAATGTTGTTTAGACTAATGTACAACAATCATTATTTTTGGTTTTAGCTCATTTCAACTATAATGCTAGAACACATTAGCTTGTGTAAGATGTAAGTCTTTAGCATAACACATTCTACATGGGATTAGCACTAGATTAGAAGAAGTAAACAATAAGTGTTTAGGGAAATTCCAGTTATTTTTAGGGGGGACAAGCTAATTAATTTATTTTAACTGGTTCAATTTGAACTGAGAATGCACCATTGACCAATCACCAAGCTGCATTACCGTACCTTTTTGAGAGTGGCAATGAGTTCACCGTGTTTCTGCAGATGCTGTGTTGTCACCTGGAGGCCACTGATCTCATCTAATGCTTCCAGACACTTCTTCACATCCTGGAGAGTTGGAGCAGAAGGGTAGGTCAGATGACGCAATCAAGGGGAGCATAAACATTTAAGACAACAAATGTGAGTGACAAGAACATAGACCTGTGTTTCCCGAACGTTTTTGAGCCACAACACATATTAAATTAAAAGAATTCCACTGCCGCTACCCCTTAAAACTGTGAAAAAAGTATAAGAGATTAAATATAACGATCTCCAAGTTTCAATTTAGTCCATATTTATCAATCGTTATCACTGCTGTCAAAGTGATATCACTAATACTATTGTTTCAATGACACCAGATGGAAATGCAGATTTACAAGTCATCTGCTGCCACCTAGTGGAGACAAACGTTATCGTTATGAACAAAGACAAGTTATTTGCAGTAAATAAATACTAAATTTCACAGTCTGTCATAACACAAAAATGTGTCTCGGCATAGTGGTTGGGAATCACTGTCATACATAATGATGGAAATATTTGTTAGTGTCAGCTGAAAGCAGATAAGTGATGTACTACAATACTGTCCATTGAAAAATGCCATGACAGCAGCAGACTGAAATGTTTCCAGAAAATCTGACTTTTTTAAAATGTTATCTGTGACAGGCCAATTAGTCATTAATTTCCCTGCTTTTCCAGGCCACATGCAAACAAAACCAGCCTTTTTGAAGGCAACCCTAATACTGATGTAGACAATTGAGTAATTCTCTGATGTGCCAAGTATGTAGTTCCTCTGTCGCGCTAACTACTACCTTGTGTGATAAAAAAAAGAAGAAAACTTGACAATTATGAATGAAATAAGTAATTACCGCAGGAAGATGCCACTACATATTACGGATGACTAGAATGACAATTCATACCATTTCAACAGTTTTTAATTTGAGAATAAATGAACTTACAGGGTTGTCTATTTTCAGGGAAATCCTGATTTCATTGTGCAGTCTTTGAAGTTTTAGGTCCACGGACATTTCTGAGGAAAAAACAAACAAACAATAATGTGGTGGTGTGTTTGTGGCCTTCATTGAGGACTGTTTTTAATGAGTCTGACTGTTCAATGAGTATGTACTGTGGATGTGTCTGTGTACAGAGAGACAGAGAGAGAGAGAGAAAACAATGATGCCCAGTGCTGCAGCTGCCACATGCTTTTGTCCAATGACAAAACTAACAACTAATGAGTTTGTCTGTAACACCTCTGAGTGATGGGCTGCTTCAATGAATCTACAAGCTAAGCTCTGTTCTGATGTGCCAAACAGAGTGGTCTACATGGTCACTGTCCATGCTGTTACCCATTGAGAGAGTTGATAATCAGATAAAAGTGTTGACCTTTTTTCTTAGCTCCTGTTTTCTCTTCATTTTTCTTCCCGTCGTCTTTGCTCGCACTAAAAGACATCAACAACCACAGCAGGTCAGATCAGTCATCAAGTCCTCTGAGGACAACATTACCTGAAGACACATATTATACTCGGCTCGTAAACACTCACTCTTTGGGGTCATCAGCTTTCCGTCGACGCACATCCTTGTCCGTTTCAGAACTTTGCTGTCTTTTTCTGCCTTTGTTTTTCTACAGTTGAACACAAGGAAAATTAGTTTGATGGACTGAAACCTGACCGTTGGTTAGTTACTTAGTATTAGACACCTGCCTCTTCATCGTCTGAAGCAGAGGAGACATCATCCTTGGACTGCTTCTTCCTTTTGGCTTCTGGCTCCTTCAAGTCATCTTTTCCTTTACTGTCCTCTCTCTTCTTCCGTTTCTCCTCCTCTGCACTCTTAGACTTGTCCTCTGGCGCCCTCTTTCTTTTCCTCTCAGACTCAGCGGTGTCCCTAAATGTATTTGTTACAACTCATTATGAAGACAAACTTCATTTCTTGAGACTTTGTATTGTGACATGTTGTGACTGTTAAATGAGTCAGTCTTTTTCATAACATTTACAAAGACGTCACCATTTGCCATCACCTGCCTCAGTTAGTGAACCTTACCACTAATGTGCACTAATGTCAAACTACACTGAAGTATTTACATTTCACTTCCGGAGCCTTGTTGGTCTTGCAACAACTTTTCACTTCTGGGCTTTCTGCCTCTTCGTTTCGGACCGTCTCCACCTGAGACATCCCATAAACACAAACAATATTAGCCACATATCAAACTGATGAAGCCAAAGAGACAAACATGAAGTAAATGCAACATTCAGGCTCTATGGGTAAAGAAGGTTTTCAGACACAATATTAACATACACAAGTTACTATAAAACCAGAGCTAGATCAGTGCCAATTTCACTAAACCTGCATCAGAACTGTTAATAAAATAAGCAATCAAAGCTGTATGTTCATCTCACTGACTGACTGGTGGAATTTGCTTCCCTCCAACCGCGTACACCAGGAGTACAGAAGAATTGAAATCATATTGTGTCATACAGCTACATGCATTTAATCAGTACACAAACATATAATGTGTATAAAAGTATGTTCAATTTATATTGGTAAATATATTTTAATGTTTTCAATGCAGGTAGATCACGATCGCACTATAGTACTTGATACACCGGCTCCCTCTAGTGGTAGATTTTGGAATAAATAAAGCACCAGTTACAAATTCACTTTTATTTTATTTATTTTAACATGATTTATAGGAAGAAATAACGCTATGTTTTTTTCTGTTAAACTATTGTAAAAACAGTGAATAAAAACGCTCTCATTATGAGGGCAGAGCTTACCTGAAAGACTAACAGGACTTGCTGGAGCATCATCTTTTTCTGTCTCTTGGTCAACTTCACCCTGAAAAAAAAAACACACCAAAAACACCACCAACAACAAAATCTATTATTTTAAGGGATTGTTGCAAAAAAGAAAAATGAGAATTATGTTCTTTTTGTACCAAAGAACTGCATATCCTTTCTTTTTCTTCATGAAAGTTTGTGACTTGAACTGGTGTGCAAAATATGGACACTCCAATGTGTCGACATGCATGATATTGTTGGTCATTTTGAACCAATCAATATAATTTTGTCAACATAATACAAGATATATATTTATACTCTATGTACTTAAAAAACCAAATGAGAGCTGCTACCAACCTTCTTCTTCCGTCCTCTCTTGGGTTTAGGAACATCTGCGGACTCACTCTGAGCTGTATCCTGAAACAGCAGAATTTTATGAACTTTGTGTACAATGTCAATAACAAAAAGAAAAACTACAACATAGAGAAGGGACCAAATGTCCAAAAGTCCACACATATATAATTTGTCTTTTTCATGTTGCTACTATAAAACAGTACCTTTGTTGCAGAATTTAGACAAGTCCCAGTGTTTTACAAACTGCAACTTAATGCAGCTGTCAAAGTCAAATAAATCTGAAAATTTCACATCAAAGCGCTTTTTTGATTTTAACTTACTGGAGGGAAAAGAAAAACAGTTATCAACTCTTGGAAATTATTACACAGAGAATTCAAGATAAATCAAAATGACTGAAAACCCACAAAGGGTGCTTTTTCTCCACAAAGCACAGAGAAAGCCATGCAAAAGGAAAGTGACATGAACTCATTCCAACCAGGCTAAACTTTATCTGGACACTGCAGTTAGTCACACAGGGTTAGACTATATCTACTAATAACAACTGGAAACAATGAGTTGGCTAAGTATACACACAACCACACACACACACAGATATACACACACAAGTATACACACAACCACACACACAGGTGTAAAAGAAAATATATTTTGGAGTTTTTTATTGTTATTTTAGAGAGTATTTAAGATGGGTTAAGGAGCATTAGGGGGAAGAATAAGAAAAAAGAACGATGTGAAATGGAACTTACAGCATCTATCAATTGTAATGTGACAACTATGATATGTGAATGTGAGTGAGTCAACTTCTTTGATGGCTAGCCAGACCTATGTTCTTCACAGAATATCAAATTAAACACAGTTTACAGGCTCTGGAGTTTTCAGGTCTTTAAACACATTTGAACCAAAACTGATCAATGTAATATTTACCGTCAAACCCTGGATAAATATAGTAGTCTAGCAGAAATATTTTGCCAGTTCTGTGTGTTGTTCATGTGTCTGGTGTGTGGTGTAAATGTAGAAAACCCAGGATGACCTCTTTAATTTAAACACCATGCACCAAAAAACAAACAAAAACAAAACTGGCCTCCATCGATTGTTATGAGCCCAACAAAAACAAACCAGCGGGTAAAAAACAAAAGGATCACCAAGTGTCACATGCTTTCCTACAGGGAGGGGATCAGACAACCTGCACCTGCTTATGTATCCCAACATGCAATGTACGTACATCCTTGTTCTGAGGACCCTGCTCAGTGATCAGAGACCCTTTCTCCTCCTGCTCCTCCTTCTCTTCCTCCTCATTTTCCTGCTCAGCCTCACTTCCTGGAACCTGAATGCACCCGAGACACAGCATAGGACGCAGTGTCGTGGGGTAAGCATGTCTTAAAAGGAAGAAAAGTTAGCCAGGGCCCTCCCGTTGCACACACCCCCTATTCTTAGCATACCACGGACCTTCCTAAGGAGCGGTGTGTATTATTCTCATACCAGTGTAACTAATGTAAGAACAGTGTTTCTGTCTGCTGGGATGTGTCCTTTAGTATGAGCAGCACACATGGCATGCAGTAGAGAAGGATCAGAAAACACAGCAAAAGAAGAAAATGAGCTGACAAAGTACAGAACAACAGCATTTGAATGCACTGAAGCAGCTGTGGACAGGTGTTAACTCACACAGAACTAACTTACTTTGGACTTGGACTCCTTGTTCTCCATCTCCTCCTCGTCTTCTGGGCTGCTGTCAATATCCTTGTCCATAAAGGATGCTGGAGGAACCGGCTTTAAGCAAAGGCATCAAACAGTGAATTATCAATAAACTACTTCAAATCCAGAGCCTTTTTAACATTGTAAAAATGTGTATATTTTTAACATGTCTATAAATAAAACTGATAACATACCTTGGGGGCAGTGAGCTCAACTTTTGGGTTGTTCTCAATCTCCCATAATCCCTCATTAAAGCCTTTTCTTTTGTTGGGCTTAGCATATTTGTCTTTGTTGGGCTGGTATGGAAAAATATCTTTTGGACCAAGAAAGGCTCTGTTCAAAAAAAAAAAGAAGAATTTAAGAACACCTTTTCCATGTCACACACTGAGTCTTAGGTCATCACAAAAAAATTAATATACAACATTAATTTACGTTTCATGGGTGCCAAAGAAGAAGATGGGAAACTTGATGTTGGATGGCTTCACAGCACCATCTGGGACTTCATCAATCTGTCAGGGAAAAGCAAATATTATGTATACCAGAGTTACGGTATAGACGACAAGTCACTGGACCCAAAGTGTTTTGTTGACAGTTAAAAAGTATTGTGTTGTCAATGGGTCATTTTCAAAATCATTTTATATGATCAAGACTTGTGTCTATGTGAATGCAATTCTACTTCATAAAGATGTGATGATGATGTTTTATTAAATAACTCCAACAACAAAGGGCATGCTATATTCACTGTACATGAGAGATCTTCTACTCTGTGCTGATTTAAACGAATTTGCATATGAATGAGCTGCAGACTCACCCTTGCAGGCCAGTGAGGATACCCCTTCATTTTGGCGAAAATAAGATCACCAGGTTTCCAGTCTCGGGTCATGGTATAAAAACGTTCACAAGCTGTAATTAACGAGAAATACATTTGAATTAATTTAAACTTGTTTGCACATCGTCTAAGCGTCCGATATCACCACCAGTGATTGTGTTTCGTTTACAGTAGCCGTTCATTCAAATGTGACTCATGTTAATATGACAGGACAAGTCCTGTCGTGTCAACGTCGACAGTCTGACCTCAGTGAGAGTCACTGAGTGACACTGACACTCACAAGAAGCTACACTCCCACTTCAACACAACCACAATAGTCCCGCTGCTCTCAACATGAAGCTACGAGAAGCTCGAAACCCCGGACAGTCCCCAGTCTTCACATTGAAACACAGTACCTTAATTTGCACTTGCTGCGGCGAATTATTGACACAGGAAGAATATATTTTGCAGAAAAACACGCAGGGCTTCTTTTCCGCACAGTAAACGGAAACACGTTCTTCTCTCCCGCGCAGGACGTTGACAGTCCGTACCATTATCTGACTTAACTAGGGGGGAATCTGTTTTCGGTTGTACCATTACTCGACTTCAATGATTTATAACATAAACTTATATTGATATAAAACTCGCGTAGTCATTGTAAAACAGGACGTGTATTTGTGGCTAGCATTTAAAAAAATAATTTAATTAGGTAAAACCATTCAGCCGGGCATCTCCACATACAAAGATCGTGTATATAAACATTTTCACATGATGAATGTCCGTCAACACAGACACACGCCATATCCTCGCAACTTAAGAATATTTTAAATTAAAACATGTTTGTTTTCATCGACAATTATTATTATTCGAACAGAATAATAAGGAGATACACACACATGGTAATTTAAGTTACTCTTAACCACTGTAACGTACTGTAGGTGGTTTGCATTTTCTTACATAGAGTGGGACTTCTGTCCATTGTTGCATCTCTTTCCTCTGCGTCCTGCTGTTGACGCAACACTCATACAGAACGTGAGAAAATGCACCCAAACATCATGAAATCACACCACTGTCCAATCACTGATTAACCTTAGCTTACCAGACAGCTTATCAATTAGTTAAGTAACAAGTTAAGCAAGTGTGCGATTATTTCAATGTCTCAAATATTACATACGTTCTCCGTAGTGACTATGTGTATTTGACATCAGTGACCTCTGGTGGAGAAAGTAGGCGTAACATTGAGTTTAGCATTAACGGACTGCTGGATTGCTATACTGCAACTTTTTTTCTTTGGAAACAGTTTTGTCAATTAAGTCTAAAAATGACATGCTAAAAGTGTAATAATTTTAGACACGTCGGATTTAAATTACAGTTAATCGTGTTTTTAAAATAAAATCCCGTGTAGTATAACAAAAGTAGGGTAGTAGTAAGATTCTATAATAATAAGTAGTGATAAAGTGAGCCACCAGGCCAGAGTATATTTGAAGGTGACTCTACCATTTGTGGCCACAAAGAAACATAAGCAACCTCTCTCTCTCTTTCTATCTGTGTGTGTGTGTGTGCTCCTGTGTGTGAAAGTTGCAGCAGACAGTAGAAGATGGTGATAGTTGAAGGACAGGCTCATCAGCCACAGAGTCCCTGAGAGGGGCTGAGGGAGGAGCAGAGATCAGGATGGGCTGGAGAAGGATGGAGGAGACAAAAGGATAAGAGAGGAGTGGAATGGCACACATGCCCAGGAATAACTCACAGGAGTTGCAGGACCCCTGCTCAGCCTGCGAGGTGAGAGACCTTGGTGTTGGACCCCAGCCAGCTTAGTGGGGCTCCTGCTCAGACACAGCCATAACAGAGGCCGGGGTAGAGCCACTGAGAGATGACGGTGTCTCTGTGTACAAGTGTGTGTGTGTATCTGTCATCCTGGCAAACGATATGTTAGCAGAACATCCCACTCTGTCTCTGAGGCCTATGAAGTCCTGTTATCCTTCCTCACCCATTTGTTAACTTGACTTTTTTCATGGCCGTGTCCTCAGCTCACATGCTGAGGGAGGCTGCTTCATATATGACCTGTGCCACGAAAACTCACATCCACACACAGTCTCCTGACAGATCTCTAACAGGATAGTCTATGAAAATTAAGGTTTTTTAAAACATAATACTAGGAGTTCATTTGGTTCATTTAAAAGTAACTTTTTAATGAACTATGAACTTTGGAAAAGTGGTGACACAGTACGTGGTATATGAACTTTATTTTTGGAAAAGTGGTGACACAGTACGTGGTTTAATAAAAGTTGTAAAAAAAAATCCATCCTATAAACAGTTAGTTCTGAGCCACTCTTTAAAAAGAACTTTTCATTTGAAAAAAGAAATGACATTTCACAGTGACATTCCCTAGTTGAAGTGAGTATGTAAAATAAATCTTCAGACCTGGTACCGAATAATTGATTTTTTTGGGTTCATTATTTTCACTGTATGGCATCATGTGAAGGGCACCTTCCCTGGACTTCTTTGAGTGATTGCGTCCTTGAGCGTGTGTGTGTGTGTGTGTTTTTATGTGTGTGTCATACACAGGGATTGGCATCTTTTCCGCTGGCAACCCTTCAGCAAGTTCGGGGAGTGGACGGGGGGAGCCACTGGAGAATGATAAAGTGGTCACAAGACAGGTCAGTGCATTCATTAACACCACAGCCATATCTGTTCATGTTGCTTCATATGGCAAGCCCTTGGCAACATTAGGCCCAAGTATTCATCTTCATATGGGATGAAGAGACAATTGTCATCAGTGGAAAAAAAAACCCTCATAAATTATCCCCTTATAGCAATCTTGCATTTAATATGTATTTATAATTATAAAAACGTATAAAAATAATTGATATCCACCTGTCGTCATTAAAGGTGAGTGCTGCTGGAGCTACGGTGGATGAGATTTCTACAGGAGGCGTCCAAGAGCTTTACACGAGCACCAGGAAACCTTTAAGAATCAGAAGAGAGAGAGAGAGAGAGAGAGAGAGAGAGAGAGAGAGAGAGAGAGAGAGAGAGGGAGTAGGAGGGAGCACAGGGGGTGTCCAGACCCTCGGACAGCAGGTGAGTGTGTGAAAGCAGAGGATGACAGATGCTTCTGTCAGTGTTCCAACAGTCACCACTTTGTGGGAGCGGTGCAGATGCCTCTACTTCCCCCACTCCTCCCACGCCTCCCCATCCCTTCATTCCTCCTTCCTTCTCGACAGGCTGTGATGTGGGGATAACAAGACAGGAGCAGGAACTCAGCAGTAAAGTGACCACACTGGCACGCTGCTACATGAAGACAGGGGAGGAGGTGAAGTGATGTAGAGGTCCAGGCCTGGGCCCAAGGCCTGAGGAGGTCTCTGTGGCAGTGGAGGTGGGGTTATAAATGTGGAGGTCAGCAAGCGAGGACAGGAGAAGGGCTCTCTCGCTGGGCTGAGAGAACCAGCTGAGATGTGGGGTTCATGGCAGTCCTGCCTATGAGGAAAGCAGATGTTTTCACTCGAGGGTGTGCCAAGTTTGTAGAGCAACCTTCAGCTGCTTGGAGGTCAGGTCTTGAATACGGGGGCCAGGCATGGGACATTTTAGCGGCAAATGCTTCAACTTTGATATAACAACATATTAATTATGATGGTAGACCATAGGGCAGAGGGTTGTAGTGAAACATCCCACCCCACTGGTTTGGAGCCTCCATCAGGCTGACATTACTCAGGACTGGCTGGCAGATTAAGTGCTGTAGCAGCACCGGGCGTCTTTCTCAATCAGGCCACGTTGTTGCAGAGGCAGCAGTTTCGGTTGCTTTAAAAACTCCCTGATTTTGGATTTTCAAAAGTTATAAATCCATTTGTTATGGTTTCATGCAGACTGCAGAGGGAAAAGTTACAGTGCAGAACAACAGTTAGAGTGAACTTTCAAAATACAGTGTCTCTAAAATAGGTTTAGTTTTGTGTATTTAACATACATTTTAATTATTCCAAACAAGCCATACTGAGAAAGCAATCCCCAATTACTAGCATTGTCAGCAACAATGGATGGGCTCCAGCATAGACCTCTTACCTGGGAGGGCTTCATGAACACAAAACAGCTGACTAACCTACAAAAGCTGCTTCTCATTGTGCTCGAAAAGTCCCTTATAACGTCCCTGTAATTCTCTATGTAGACGACACCCAGTCTTTGGGAAACAATGTATTAACTAGTGCTTCAGAGATAGATATATAGCACTTTATTAAGTGCTATCTATTCATGGTGAACATGTTGATTTCATGACACAAACACAGTGCAGCCCTGTAGAGGTTTGTATGTTTTTCTTGTTTATTTGTTTGTTTTGTGGTTACAATAAGTACAAAGCTCTAGTTGAAAATGGTAGAAAATCAACTGTCTTAATTACAGTATAGCTTGTGTGTGTGTGTGTGTGTGTGTGTGTGCGTGCTGTGTTGTTCTGCATCTCCATCTGAAGCGTCTCGACTCGAACTTAAATGCTGTAATTTATCTTTCAACTACCGTCGCAACTACATGAAATATGACACGTAGTTTCGTCATGGTGATCCCAATGATCACAAAAAAAAAGTGTTTCTAAGACTTTATTACTTCCTAGCTTGATGAGTTAAGAAGGGAGTTTTACCTCATCTCAACCTTTGAATTGATTTTTAGAGAGTGGGAGATCTGGGGATTACGTAGGAGAGCAGCAATGAAGACCTAGCTTACTGGGTCTTTTTTGTATTTGGCAAATGGGCTTCACAAAGATGGAGGAGACAAAATCTAGGGCTTACAGCTGTGGCACCCAATCGGGGGAACTTGAAAGCTTCGATAGGATGGGAAGCTGGGAGTGAGGGTACTTCATTTAGGAGTGGTGAATTTGGACAGGGGGCATGGGGAAATGCTTAAAGCAAACCACAGAGGCCCCAACAATCATCTGGAATTGAGACATTTTAAACCTTTAACGGGGGACTGTGATCAAAGCGGCAGTGGATCCTCACTTGAGTGTGAAAGCAGAACCAGAGGGAAAAGAGGGGATTGCGGGGGATCATAGCAGGTTGAAAACGTAAAATCAGCACATTAGCTTTATAAGGGCGTCAGAATATGGGATGATCTGGGGATCATTGGACCCAAGGGAAACCGGGGAGAATCCACAAAGTAGCAAGCACGGTGGAGAAAAACCAGGCCACTGCTGTCGGAAAAAAAATCTCTCATATAAGATGCAGTTAGAGGAGGCGTAATGTTGTCTAATTCCCACAGAACACAAGTTCACACAGAGCTGTGGCTTTAACACTGTACAATCCCGCGCTTTCACACTCCACTGCTCATCTCTGTGGTACAGTCACATTCACAAGACACATTTTACCTGAAGTTCACTTTCAAAGTTTTAACTAAACCTCAGCGTTCATCTTTAGTGGTGTGCCATGGATTTTGCTCGTAGAAGTCACTGGTTCTGAGACTGTTCCCACCAGCAGAGAAGGCCTTGCTGGCCTCGATGTGCCGCCACTGACCTTCATTTTTTCAGGTTTGTGGAGGTGTGTGCTGGAGCCAATCACAGCTGTCCAAACAGTCATTCGCACTCACAATGATTCCTACAGTCATATTAAAGAGTTCTTTTAACCTCAGACCCAATGTGCATACCTTTGGACTATGTGAAAAAACAAGAGTACCTGGAAAAAAAGATGAACACACAGGGAGACCAGCGAA